CTAGAGTACCTACAGCGGACAACAGCCACATTACAAACAGATTACAATAATAAGGATCCACAATTAGCATGTTCAGTTGTAAGTATCTCAGCACAACATTAAAAATCTGAAAATTGCTTTCAAATGGTGTTTTTTGTTTTGTTCAAGATAATTGGAAATTTTTGTCAACTTTTCTGTGTTTTGTCTCTATTTTTCTTATACGGTATTTTTGCTCGAAAAAAACAATTCAAAGATTAAGCAAACATCTTCTAAAAATATTGATGCAAAGGACGATAAAAGATTCTAGTAAAGGTTCGACACTGTATGATGACTAGGCTCATAATTCTATTGACTAATATAAACCCCAGGGCTAATATTAGAGTTTTTAAGATGATACTAGGACATGACAACTATTTTTTTTATCGCTTTATATTATGAGTTCATTTTTTGTTTTACACAAATATTGAAAAGTAACTAAAAGAGTAAAGTGATCCGTTCTCATTCTGTTGGTTACAGCCATCACGACAGCTTAAGTTTACATTGTAATACAAGATGAGCAGGTTGAAATCCAATAAAATCTTTAATACATAAAATAATTTAATTATGTTTGCTTTCTTAGATGTAAACAGATGATCCAATTTTCAAGTCCAACTTTTGAATTCATATTTATAAATTAGAAACTGGAAAACAAGCAGGATTTCAAGAAAATCAAAGATTTTGGAAGGAAACAAAGCAGGTGTTAAGAAATACAGGAGTGCAATTTTACAGGACGTATAGTCTTCTATGGATTGGCAGTCTTTGGTTTATAAAATAACATTTTATACTACTGTCAATATAAGACACTATATACATTTATATTACACACTTACAATTTTAACATTTAAGTTCGAGTGCTTTTTCAAACCAAAACCAAAATAGAAGTAAAGTAAATTTCGTAGGGTTTCACACAGTATTCATGTTCATAAAAATTGAAGGAACAGTAATGTATGCATATGTTGATAGAAACTTTTTCTCCCATCATAACCATTTTTTTTAGAAGCTTACATCCACGTCATTTGGACCTTGGCTGATAGTTGTCTCATTAACAATCATACCACATGTCCTTATTCTTTTATTCAAATATCTATTCAATTTTTTTTTCTCGGAATTCTCCATTTTTTAAATGGATGTCGTCTTTCCGTTTTGTCTCATTTAACACCTGCTGAAGTATTACATCAAGTAAAACTAAAAAAAAACAATGTATTTATCTATTATATATAAATATAAAAACAATCAAAATTGAAAAAAATTGAATTAACTTGTATAAATATAATTATTTCGAATTTAGGTTGAAGCAAGCCACATTATGGAAACCCTTGTTGATTTCTTTGATACATCTGTTAGTTCTGACAGTACATTGATTGATGTACAAGCTGGTAGGTTATATTCAATAGCATTAGTGTTTATGCAAAATGCCATGATAAAAAGGTTAATAATGAATTAACATTAAAAAAGAAATAACTTTAATTTTTACTTTTTGTTAAAGTACTCGAAATGCAAATTTCCTTTTTTTTTTTTTTAGATATTTTAAAAAATAACTGCGTAGTATCACTTTTGTATCTGCCGTTTTCAGTCTATCTCTGAAAATACAGTTGACCATGTGACTCTTTCTGAACAAATCAAAAGATAATATTAGTAAATTAAAATATATTGCGATAATTAGAATTTCCTCAAAATCTTCATTGGAGGTCCATGGTGTATAGCACATGATGACTATTTATACTCACGCTTGTTTATTTATAGAAATGACCACAGTAGCTGAACTAATATTACGTGGAATTTGTCAAACATTTTGTGATGATTCAAATTGTGATACCACCTGTCCAATGACGATATTTCAGGTAATGTTTTTCTTCTTCATTTTAATTCATTTATTCAAGTAAAGAATATAAATGGGCATTTAAAGAGGCAGTACTTACGATTTTCACCCAAAAAATTGCGTGACAGTTTTTTTTTCAAGAATATAGTACATTTTGTGTATAAAATACGGATGAAAGCTATGTGGTTGCAACTCTAAATGTTCTTTTTACGATAATTCACTGTTTATCAAGAAGTTGAAATTTTATTGGTCCGACAAAAACTCATTTGGAATCTGCCCCATATGCATATTACCTTTGATATACCTAATAAAAGAACTAATCAAAGAAACCAGGCTTATTATTTTGTACGCCAGAAGCGATTTTCGTCTACAAAAGACTCATCCGTCACGCTCGAATGAAACAGTTTAAAGTCGAAATAAGGTACGAAGTTGAAAAGAACTATGGAATGAAAATTCCGAAAGATTTTGCCCAATATGGCTAAGGTAATCTATTCCTGGTAGGAAATTATTAGAAAAAAATACACAGACGTACAAAGTTCTATTGAAGAAATAAAAGTGTTCACCAAAACAACATGGAATCGTGGTCGACCGACAACTTTAAATTATTCCGGTTAAAAACATATCATAAAGACGTTTTAGGGAAACAGTGATGCTTTTAAGGGCATAGCCTGCCTTAGATAAATAAAATTCAAAAGCATTTTATGTTTTAGAAGGTTAAAATTTAACTGGATTATGGTGTCTCTGCAGAAGATGATAAAATTAACATACACTTGATTTTCACTTAATTGGTCCACTCAGTGTTGTCAGAAATCTATTGTCCCTCTATTGTCCATGCCAATCAAAACAGTTCACTTCAATTATTACCTTTTGTGAAGTTCTCAAACCTCTTTCCCAACTTTGTTTATTTTGGAACCTTCAGTAGGAACGAAAAAAGTGCACAGTAAAATCTAGTTAAGTTTTTAAAACTTTTTAAAACATAAAATGCATTTGAATTTTATCTATCTAGGGCATGATACGCCAAAACTATTCCAGAGGCACAGGTTTGTCTGTACTCAGAGTAAATTTTGAGGTGTAAACACAGCCATTTTAGCCTAATTAATACTCGACAATACATAATCTACAATTAATTCACTTATTGCCCTGAAATGACTATTTTTATCTACCGTTCGCTTGTTTCCGTTTTTATCGATCGCTCGTCGTTGGCTGCATATTTTTCAAAATAACAAACTTCATGCAAATTACTTGGATATGATTTATATAATTGCAAGCGCGTGCATAAGCTGCTGAAATACAATAGATGTAGACACTCAAACCATTTAAATTGAAACCAACATATATCACCATGGCCAAAAGAACAATTTGTTAATAGACAAACAACAAACCACAAAACACTATATAGAAAACTAAAGAGTGAGTACCATGAAACCCACAAAACTAAGGTTCATAAGTTCCTGATCCTCTAGTGGCACGCCTCATGCTGCTCATGCCAAGTAAAAATAAAGTCTCAAATCGCTTTCGGTGATGTTACAATCATGAAAAAGAATAATAATATAAAAGGGTAACAATGGGATTCATCCGTTACCGGAAAAGGGATTTTGTATCACTGTTAACGTTGTTCATTGTCGGAACCCGCTGAGTGACCGTTCTCATAAAACATACTTCATATTACATCTTTCATCAATTCTATTAACTATACTGCAAAGTCAGTAAAAGGTGGATACAAGTTTTTCTTGCCAGTAAAATATTAGGTTTCCTTAGCCATGCACTTCGTTTAGCTTGATTTTTTTTTCATTGCAGGTTAGACCGCTTGTCAGTGACACGGAATCTTGTTTGCTGAAAATGATGATAATTCTGATAGAGAGACAAAACATTGACCTCATAGAGATATCTGGCGATTTAACTATATCAGGATACAGAATGTTAGTCAGAGATATTTTCTTTAAACCTTCAATATTTGACGTGTTACGTATACCACCAACTCCAGCAAACCTCGCTGCAAATAGTTCCTATGCAGACAAGCCTGTTATTTTTTTGGTAAGAGCATGTACATTGTAGATATACATCTACGCAGAAGTAGACAAAATATGCACAGTGTCCTTAAAACAATAGTCATAATTTATTCATGAGGGTATGCTGAAATTTGTAACTATTCTTTTTTTTTTTGGAAAGCGCTTTTTTGAAAAATCGGAAGGCAAATTTATTTCCTGCAACTCACATAAATACTTCTTCTGTAAAGAAAAAGATAAATATGCTATAGATATACTAACTGGTATTGTCATCAGACGATTAAAGCTGTAAATGTTTTCCTTGACAACATTTATATACGTTTTGGCCATAAAGTTTATTGACAGGTTTTATGCATTTCCATTGGCGCCATATTCCACCCCTTTAATAACAGATTTGTTCCTGTATTGATTTGAATCAAAGTTTATTGCCAAACTAGGTAAATTTCCGTCAAACTTCATTTAATTAATAAATTCAACAACATTTGTTACCTTGATGCTATTTGTGCACTAAAAATGAAAAATGTTCTGCCGAAAGTTTCTAAGGAAACTTACGTTCAATAAATCGAATATAAACAGCAATTACTGTCGTTTCCTTGATTTAGATATTTAAGTTTCACATCTCTTTACAAAATTTACGACAAAAAAAGACGATTTTCGTTCCGTATTATTACAAAGCGTCACATTTGTTTTTACAATATCCATTGAAGTTCGCGAAATTCCGTCTGTAAATAGCAATTTTTAAAATTTAAAGCCTTGACGTGTTTTACTATTCTGAACGCATGTTCGGAATAATCTTAGATGAATTAATAATACATAAATAGGTCAACGCTTCACAAGTAAATCTAAACAACTTGAACTCTAACGTCTTGGTTAGCATATTTTTCTTACAATTCTGAAGTGATATACATACATATTTCTATATTTAGACTGCACTGTTGACGGAATATTGGTCATCGATCGATTTGAGATCATAGTAAATTGGGGTCAACACTTGTTTTTGCCAGGCCTACATATCTGAAGTTGATTTTGATGATAAGTTCGCGTGTAGTACCTTTAACCTGATTATTTTGTCATTTAGATAATTAAATACTACTGCAGCGAAACAATCAGTTTATATCATCATATTTAAGATAATATATTGTATCATTATTTTTAAGATGATAGTTGGTGATCAGAGCTTGTATAGTTTTATACCTGACCCATATGGTATGAATTCCGGTATCTTTAAAACATTTCTGATGGATGCAGACGGACAACCTGTTGAAATATTTAATTCAATAGACTTCTTAGTAGATGCTTCAAATGAAATCCAGGACGAAACAAATGTGAGAAATCCTCCAATTAATGGAACTGAAAACCTGGAAGCTTCATTTGATTTTGGAAGTGAAAATGGTATGGTTAGTGTTTTATTAAACAGTTTACAAGAATGCACAACAACCGTGTCATCTACCAATTCAACATTCGATATAGTTACCATAGGGTTGGATACAGTTATAAAAGACGAGTCTCCTTCCAATATAAACATAAGTTTCTACAATCAGTCACTACAATTTTTTGCCAGCCCACCTAATCCACCAATGGATATGTTTGTACACTGTAAAGGTAAGCATTGTTACTTCGAATGTAAATTTGATAAGTGCATTATCTATTTCAGCAGGTATCTTTGTTTTTAAAATGGAAAACATGTGTTATACAGCAGTCGTGTTCTTGTTATTTTTTTAAATTTAATTCAGATTCTTGATCCAATTTCAAAAAAAGGATATGAAAAATTGATCATAGACTAATATATGACTAAAAATAGTATAACGATAAATCCATTATAATAGCTGACATGTGCTGCCAAACATTGTGTACTCCTTACTAAAAAGTTATAAAGGAAATATAAGAAAAATTACAATAAAAGAGATCACAAGCATCAACTGCAATAAACCTGACACAGTGTGAAACATGTATCAACATTATATTGTAATATTTTTATACTATTTAAATTAATTTCTTTATCAATAAGAAAAGGATGATTTTATGCAGTTTTAACGCAGCGTTATGCAGTTACACGATTTTATTATATGTTGCCTAATTGCTATGCATTTAGATACACACTAATACAAACGATTAATTCTTATGATATTCAATATTTTGTCACGTACACATATGTAATATGTATTTGACAGTTTTAGAAATATAAAAAGGATAAAATAAATGAACTACATTCTTAATGAGATATTCGATATTTTTTAGCCTGTATTCAGCAATCAGAAGTGATATTTGTATTGGATGCTTCAGGGAGTGTCACAGCATCGTCATTCGAAGAAATGAAGTATTTTGTTGTATCATTGGTAGAGTTGATGCAGATTGGACCAGAACAGGTCCGAATAGGGTTAATGACATTTGAAACAACACCAATTGTCATTTTTCAGTTAAATGAATATCCCGATTCTGCAACTATTATTACGAATATTTTGGGCGCTAATTTTACTGGTGGTTTAACTTACGCAGGTGCAGCTTTAAATAAAGTACGAACATCAATGCTTCCTTTAGCAAGGCCTGGTGTACAGAGGCTTGTTATACTCTTAGCTGATGGTGGTTCATCTGATCGGGTATTATTATACGAAGAGTCTGACATGCTAAAGGCAGACGGTGTAGAAATTGTTGGAGTTGGAATAAGAAACTATGATTATCAAGAGTTTCAAACTGTTACAAGTGACCCAGACGCTGCCTATTTTTTTCCAGTTTCTGACTTTTCGGCTTTGACTAATTTATCAACAAACATGATTAAGCAGATTTGTGGTGGTGAGTGCCATTTAATCGTGGAATAAAAGTAGCTGAGAATATTTTTTGAAAATGTAACATATTTTTGTAAAATATAATTGTTTTAGACAGATAACAATTCTATGCGTTGTAAATGTCAACGAGACAGCACTTAATACCACTTCTCAAAAAAACATATATCACGATATCTTTGTACGGCCTTCAAAAAAGTACCAAGACAGTAAGTCATGTACTGGACTCTAATGAGTATTGGACAAGTGGTAGACATTTTGGCTTTTTCTTTCTTCTTCTTCTTCTTTAAAAAACTCCAGAAAACCCAAAATATAAAACCAACCGCTTTGAGATGAATGTCTATGGTAAAATAGAAAGTACATAACTCTTGAAAATTCAAGATAAATACACAAACAAACCATCATTTACTACCTCACCTCACTTAGTTTGACTCTTCTGTATTTTATTGAACTACATACAACATGGGAAATGGCTATCATATATTTATATTTTTTTTATATCTTCAAATCGTTATTTTTGACCAAATACCAAGTTTCAATTAATCAGGAAGTTAATGTTCTTAGAAATGTGATTACTATATAAAATAATTTAACATCATAATCTGAATAACTATATTACTAAATTATATTTAAATACTTGCCGGTATCAATTTGAAATTTAATACAACAGTCGCATTTGGTCCATATGTAGCGAAATGAGCATGTTAGGTTTTGATTTGACATCTGATATATATTTCAATAGTAAGAAGTTTCTCTATAAATAATAATGTTGTGAAATACAAGGAGACCAGTTTTTTAATATCACTTAAAAACGGAAAATATTTATTGAGTAATTCATTATCTATATAAAACAGCACTATAATACTAGTAAGTTTAATGTTTTAGGATTATGGACAAATTTGACTTCAAATCAAATCCGGGCAGGAAAATTATCTATGTATGCCTTAAACAGTGCTGAAAATAAATGGGAAAGGTCTTCAGATATAAAGGTATTAAAGTGTATGAAATCATGTTCTTTTTAAAAATATGAAAATACTGTAAGATTACCAGAAATGCTAAAGAAATGAAGGTGAGTTTTTATCTATAAATCTATAAGTACCACCTTCAAATTTAAGCAAATACCACCACCTCTAAACACCTACACATTGGAAAAGTAAAACAAAATAACACATACACATAAAAACAAAAATAATTTGTGATCACATAGCACTAACCTTAGAATGATTCAATAAGTGAGATTCTCAACGAGATTAATTTATATCAGATTCAAGATTCCAATTTTGTTCTCAGTACTAATCGACATTACGGAATACAAGAACATAACATTTAAAAAAAACATACTATGCATATTATCTTTGCAATTGTGTACAATACGATTATCCAATTGTTTACGAACTTTACAATATAACAGGTAAAAATAAGCTGATGGACAGGTTTTCCATTCGTTTGATGTGTTTGAGTTTTTGATTTTGCCATTTGTTAAGGGACTTTCCGTTTTGAATTTTCCTTGGAGTTCGGCATTTTTGTTATTTTACTTTTTATCCATCCCTATCAACCAAGTATACAAACTACTATGTTATTGACGATAGTTAAAAGTTAAAAGTTAAAAGTAATACAATAGTACTGTTATTTATGCACTTCATCATGTTATTATTATTTTTGTTGATTTATCATTTATGATAAATTTCTGATATATTTTCAGCTGAAAGCAATGGAAGATAGCACTGTTGTATTTGAAAGTAATTTCTTTGGGACGTTCGGTGTTAGTATAATGGCGATTCCTCCTGAAACAATAGATTTCGATGAAGTTTTTACCAACTTAGATGACAAGATTGCTGATAATCCTTATGTTATAGCAATGAACTGTATTCTGTTAGCAGGGTTAGCTATTGGCACAGTGATTATGAGAAAACTTGACCTTGAAGACAAGAGATTAGTATGTCGCTTTTCAATTTTCTTTTTTTCTATTTATTTAGAATAGCATCTATATAATCATTATCTTTCCAGACGTAACATTATTTCAAAGCTGACACATAGTAATGTATTCAAGGTTATTCTAAAAAGCCAATATTTGAACTTTTCACTTAAGGAAAAGCCATCGTGTTCGTTTTGCTGTGCCAGATTTATTGTTATAGAGCAATGCAGCGTCATATTAAGAACATTTGTATCTGGTCAACCATTTTTTTTTACTTTACTGTTATACAAATGTAGGCCTTGAGGTAGCAATACACAGTTAGGAGTTTGGCTTCGCATTTTGGCCCCAGTGAATTTTTCAAATGTGAAAGTTATTGTGCAATAAAATTGATTTTTAGATATCTGAAGATTAATATAGCCTTCAAAATGGGTTTATATGGACATCAATATTGTTTTAAGCATGTTTTTTTATGCCATTTTCTCTTTTACAGTCCGTATTTTTACATCTGTACCGCCCATAGATCCAGAAATTATTTTAGTGTTTTCCAACAAATATTTTACGCTCGAACTTTTCAATTCAATTTTATGGAAAAATGAGGTGGAATGCATATGATTTGTAATTGACCACTTGATAGATAAATATCAATAGTTTCAGAAAAAGGTATCACTCAAATGGATTGTAATTCTACTTTGGACCAAATTTTGGGGACGTTTGTGACATTTTCAACCCCCCCCCCCTTTTTTGCAATATTTTGTATCAAATAAATGCAGATTGTTGCCATGGTTACACAAAAAAGAGATTCTATTTCACCAATTTAACTATTGGAAATCAAATCTATGGAAAGTGCTGTTTCCATACATATGCACATACATGACACAAACAGTAAGCCTTATTTGTTATAAAGCATTGGAAAGAGGGTGGTTAAACATTATGAGTGTCAATTGTAAGTTTTTGTTTTCCTAACTGTGTATTGCTACCAGAAACTCTGTAAAAACCCGGTCAGGCCTTCACTTTGAAAATGTCTGTACCAAATCAGGACTGAGACAGTCAATCGTTAATAATTCATTTATTGATCGGATCATTTGAAGATATTTTCCCTTTGTATCGATTAACATTGAATTTTTAAATAGTATTTGTACTTCTTGTACCCTTGTTATGTCCGGTTAAAGAAATAAAATTAAATAATCCTTTTTGCACAATGACACTTATTTCAATGCATACGACATTTGTTTTGGGATTATTTTCACCCGGTACACCAACGATCTAAACCCACCGAATACTTGATACATATTTCCGCCAAAATCATGTCAGTCAATTTTGTCTGAGAGTTTTGTGACCTTTGAAACAAGTACATAATTCACAAACTATATATCCTTAGCAATGAAAAGTTCCATTCAAGTTTAATGATAATCCCTTGCACCTTCACCTCAGGGGCATCGACTTCATAGAATTAATAGAGGACGACTACTTTAATATAGAAGACAAGGGTTTTGTTCTGTCAGTGTTTCCGCATTTGCATAATTTTCCAGATCAAGTTCTTCGGGCTTTTGAGGAATTATTCTTAAACAGCAATGCCAATAAAATAATAAAGATAAAACTCGCACCATTGCCTTGTCCTTTTTTTCATAACTTAAAACAGTTTATTTTTGGTAATTCAAATCGTTCAATATTTCTGTCAATATATAGGGATGTGTACATTTCACACACCCATTGTCTGTCGTTATATCGGGATTGCTTGACCACCTAAGTTCGCCCCTGATATTGGCGTGGTTGGTGATACTAAACATTTTGCTATTTCATTTTTAGCCATGTGTCGAATGTCCGTTTTGTATCGTCGTCAATGTTGTTGTTTAAATATATTGAATTTCTTATTCTTTTTGTAAGTTAAAAGGAGATTTTAACCATTAGTTATAAGTTGCATAATATTATGATGACATGCTGATTTAGTCTTATTTTAATAGGGATCTTTTGTTGATTTTTATACGGAAATTTTGTGAGAAACGCATAATGTTTTGTTAAGCGGTCTTTGTATTTTCATCCAATCTTTTAAACAAGACGGGAATAAGACATATTTTTTTCCCAGAAATATGTAATGTTTTGAAAACTGCCAGTTGATACTGCCATAGGATGTTTCCACCTATGCATGTAATTGATTATCAAATATACTGTATGATGTCATAACACCATATGAAATAATTGGCTGCCAAGTTTAAAAAGTGTTATTTTTATTATTGAAATTAAGTAAGTAAGATGAGTGTCCGTATGTTAAATAGCTACATACACGAACTTCGTCTATATGTAACATCTGACTTATCGTATAATAACTATGATAACAATTTCAATGTGCGTCAATAAGTTATTTTAATAACGTTTATTGGGTACACATGAGACTAAAACGTTCAAGTAAAGGGCCTAAATAAGACCGGCAAAATCGTCTTAGGGTCCACTGTCAATGAGAGAGTTATCTCCATAGTATTAGTAGATATAAATAATCATAAACTTAAACTTTTACACTAAAAGAACCCATTTCGTTTTAATCATGCACATATACGTACTGGTCACTGTGCGGATTGTTCCATAAAGTACTGAAGGCCAACAATCAGCAGGATTCTCCCAGATGTAGTAACATAAACGTATGACAACAATTTCAGTGTGTTCTTTACGTCATTCTGGAATAAACTTTGTCATAGGTCAATAGGAAAAGATTCTTGCAATATATTAGAAACGACGAAACAAAATCTTTTTCCATAATACACGTAGTTTATTTGTCAGTTTATTTTCAATCTATGAGTTTGACTGTCCCTCTGGTATCTTTCGTCCCTCTTTTATCCTTATTTGTTTTAAACAATAGTAAAAAACAAATGTTATAACATACTTCGATGTTCAGTACATTATTTTCCTTTGCAACATGCATGAGAGAGTTGTCAACTTGGTTTTAGTAGATTAACATAATGTTAAGCTGAAATTTTACCATAAAAAATATTGTTTCAATTTTTAGCTCACCTGGCCCAAAGGGCCAAGTGAGCTTTTCTCATCACTTGGCGTCCGTCGTCCGTCGTCGTCGTCGTCGTCGTCCGTCGTCGTCGTCCGTCGTCGTTAACTTTTACAAAAATCTTGTCCTCTGAAACTACTGGGCCAAATTTGACCAAACTTGGCCACAATCATCATTGGGATATCTAGTTATAAAAATGTGTCCGGTGACCCGGCCAACCAACCAAGATGGCCGCCATGGCTAAAAATAGAACATAGGGGTAAAAATGTAGATTTTGGCTTATATCTCTGAAACCAAAGCATTTAGAGCAAATCTGACAGAAGTAAAATTGTTTATCAGGTCAAGATCTATCTGCCCTGAAATTTTCAGATGAATCGGACAACCCGTTGTTGGGTTGCTCCCCCTGAATTGGTAATTTTAAGGAAATTTTGCCGTTTTTGGTTATTATCTTGAATATTATTATAGATAGAGATAAACTGTAAACAGCAATAATGTTCAGCAAAGTAGGATCTACAAATAAGTCAACTTGACCAAAATGGTCAGTTGACCCCTTAAGGAGTTATTGCCCTTTATAGTCAATTTTTAACCATTTTTCGTAAATTTTTGTAATCTTTTACAAAAATCTTCTCCCCTTGAAACTACTAAGACAAATTTAACCAAACTTGTCCACAATCATCATTAGGGTATCTAGTTTAAAAAATGTGTCCGATGACCGCGCCCGCGAACCAAGATGGCCGACATGGCTAAAAAAGAGTACATAGGGTAAAATGCAGTTTTTGGCTTATATCTCTGAAACCAAAGCATTTAGAGCAAATCTGATGAGGATAAAATTGTTCATTAGGTCAAGATCTATCTGCCCTGAAATTTTCAGACCAATCAGGCAACACGTTGTATGTTTGCTGCCCCTGAATTGGTAATTTTAAGAAAATTTTGCAGCTTTTGGTTATTATCTTGAATATTATTATAGATAGAGATAAACTGTAAACAGCAATAATGTACAGCAAAGTTAGATCAACAAATAAGTCAACATGACCAAAATTGTCAATTGACCCCTTAAGGAGTTATTGCCCTTTATAGTCAATTTTTTACAATTTTCATAAATTTTGTAAATTTTTGTAAATTTTTACAAAATATTTTCCACTGTAACTACCGGGCCAAGTTCATTATAGATAGAGATAATAGTAAGGAGCAAGAATGATCAGTAAAGTAAGATCTACAAACACATCACCATCACCAAAACACAATTTTGTCATGAATCCATCAGTGTCCTTTATTTAATATGCACATAGACCAAGGTGAGCGACACAGGCTCTTTAGAGCCTCTAGTTTATTGTCTCGGGGGGAGTTAATTTGAATATTTGTTGTTGTTGATTGCACTTAAACTTTAGTTTACTGTATATTTCCTTCTTAATTGACATAAACTGTTTATTGTTTACTTTATATTTGCAGTGGCAGTACAAACCGTTAGCTGACAATATAGACAGCGCTGCCTTTTCCTATTACATCTCCGTTCATACAGGATTTTGGTCTAGTTTTCGATTATCATCTACTCCGTATATTATATTGAAGGGATGGTATGGAGAAACAATGTGTCGCCCTTTGGTTGACAAAGCAGGATTGGTGGGTTCAATAGCAACTAAGAAAGAAAAAAAAGCTAATGATTACAAAATAAAAATCGATTAATCCATATTGGATAAAACAATTGAACATGTGATAACAAAAAAAGGGTAAAGTATTAAACAAACGAAAAACGGACTCGTTATAGTCTTACCTTTAAAGGAGTGTATGTTTGACGAAGGCTGAGCACCAAAATGTGTTAACACTTGCTATGACATATCTTGTTGCAAATCATTTCGATCTACTATTAATTAATGTTTATGAATGTTTTATCCGTCTGTCATTGTCAATTTGATATCTTATTTTACGTTCATTCAATCAAATGTTCATCTTAGTACACCCAAAAAATGAAAACAATGAAAATTGACAAGCGATTGGTGGAAAATGATAGTTAGGCAATTATACAAAGTTTTGGCATCGAATACATGTCTATAGGCTGTTTTTCATCAAAGTCCTTGCATTCAAATTACTTAGCTATTAGTTTACTACAATTAAAAGTATATGTTGGTTTACATATTTGTACCTCTTCTTGTGTTTAAAGTGATATTTCACGTTGTTTGAGACTGACAGGTCTTTTGGCTGGAGAATATTTGAGAGAGTAACAAGCAAAGACTGCATAGTGTTTTCATGACCTGTGATGCATGATGGGCATTTGGCATCACCAATTTTATAGAATTTATGTAGCTTCAATTGTATTAGAAAATGATTTCTGCTTCGGAAACACAATTAATTGTAGAGGTTTAAATGATTGTCATACCTAGTTAATACACTTCTCTCTAATTCAAATTAACCTGAAACGGCAATTGTATTATCGTCTATAATGTCTGAACAAAAACCGATTATACCGTTGAGACGAAAAGCAATTTTGCAAGTGTGTTGACTTTAAAATTGAGAATGGAAATGGGGAATGTGTCAAAGAGACAACAACCCGACCAAAGAGCAGAAAACAGCCGAAGGCCACCAATGGGTCTTCAACACAGCCAGAAAATCCCGCACCCGGAGGCGGGCTTCTGCTGGTCCCTTAACAAAAATGTGTACTAGTTCAGTGAAAATGGACGTCACACTAAACTCCGAAACATATAAATAAACTAAAATTGAAAAAAACATACAAGACTAACAAAGGCCAGAGGCTCCTGACTTGGGACAGGCGCAAAAATTTCATGCGGTGGGATTAAACATGTTTGTGAGATCTCAACCCTCCCCTATATCTCTAGCCAATGTAGAATAAACAAACACACAGCAATACGCACAGTAAAACTCAGTTTAAAAGAAGTCCGAGTCCAATGTCAGAATAGGTAACAGAAGAAACTAAGCAAAATGACAATAATACATAAATTAACAAAGGACTACTAGCAGTTACTGACATGCCAGCTCCAGACCTCAATTAAACTGATTGAAAGATTATATCTCCATCATATGAAAATCAAGCACAATCCCTCCTGTTAGGGGTTTAGTATCATACCATCATAAAATATATGAGAAGAACATAACCCGTATCATGCCAACAACTGGTTTTAGAATAAATGTGTTTATTTCCGATGCAAAGACCCTATGAGTGAATCAATATTAATTCCAAAATATGCAATCTTTAATAACCTGACAACAGTAACGTAACTATATCCCTTCTTAATAAGTCTGTTTAAAGGTTTTGTTAGCTTTTGAGGTGAATGACGACATTTTTGTGCTTTGTATAGAATATTACCATAAAAGATTTGATGTGAAATACCTGAACGTATAAGATGTCTGCATGTTGATTTATATTTTCGAATGGATACAAAATTAAACAGACGGCCAGTATTCTTAATATTGCATTTACATGAATGTATAAAATGTAGCACTGATGAAATAAGGATTATTGAGCTTGAACTTGGCAGAAACATTAACAAAGAGAGTAGAAAAAAATGAAATTAAATATACAATCTATTGATAGCAATAAAAGTGTGTATTGTTTTTTTACATTGAATTATGACTTGATATTTGTGTACTTTTATAAGTTTTGTAGATCAATTTTTGTTGGTCAGAAATACTGGTTTTTATGATATTCCTAATTTTTCGAATGTTAACTGTATAAAAACTCATCAAAGATACCAGGCTTATGATTTGGTTCAAACGACGTGCTTTTAGTCTACAAAAGTTTAGAATAAAAACCGTTACAAAGTTAAATCAAAAACAAAGGTGAAGTTCATAAATAACCGAAAATTTCGAACAAATGTGCCAAATATGGCTACAGCAATCTATACTTTGGCGTAGAAAAAACTTAGGGTTAAGAATATTTCAACATTTAATACACAGTATGTTTACAGAAAATAAACATATCAATGATAATTTATGTCAGCACAAAACTGACTATTTGGCTGATGAAAGCATCGGGGGCGAAACGTCCACCAGCATTGGCATCGACTCAGTGGTTGTAAAAATCTTATAAAATACAAGGGTTAAATTTTGGTATGTCAGACACGCGTTCCGTCTAGATAAGACTTATCGGTGTAACAGAATACTCATTCCCGATAACTAACCGACTATTACATAGTATTTAAAGTACATGCTCAAAGCACATTGATAGACCATATTACATTGCTTTCCTTATTTCATTCCTCAATTCTAGTTCAGAAATTTGATACGCTGGAGATGTTCTAATTTCCTGTTAAAAACGGATGTTAACTTGGGACCGTTGACAGAGGTAAAAATATGGCATGACAATGCTGGTGTCAACAAAAGTTTGTTTTTGGATAAGGTGCTAATAAGCACCGGAAAGCTAGGAGAAACGTGAGTTTTTATTTGTTATGTATATTTAAATATTATTTTTTAAATCAATACTGGAATAACTACAATGTATACAACAAAATCAAAACGAAGAAAATTATGAAATATGGTTTCCTTATTACTGTTAAATAATTTCAATCTAATTTTAAAGTAATGATACTTCAGTAACAAACATTGAAAACTTTTTATTAATATTGGCAACTATACTTGTCCGTTGTTGTCGACTGTATTATTATCCATATGTTTCATTTGAATCGTAGGGGTGCTATGTCATTGACATAATCCCCAAATCTCCTTAAACCTTAATTAGTTAGGAAACATCTCGCTCGTGACTTGCTTGGTATATATTTATTCAAACTAACTATATTTTTTTAACTTTTAAGTTTATATATGAAGTACTAGAACTAAAAAGGATGTTTCCTTGAATACATGCTATATTTATTAAGAATCGATAAGTTTTATATTAGTTCAAATTCTCATTCGTATTTTCCTTTCAAAATCTTTATTTTTTTGTAAGATTCTATAGCAAAAAAAAACAGCAGTCTAATTCCCATTAAAGTCGGTGTGTTTACTTTCAGTATTTTATTTTAAAGTTTAAAGTTTTTTAATCAACACAGTACATTACTCTTCTATTTTACTTTCAAAAGGTATGTATTCTTCTGCAATGACTGGTTATCTGATAGTAAAGGTGACGCAAAGACATACAGAGAACTCTATTGTGCTCAAAGTGAATTTAAAGATGGAAATACGCTGTTTTCGTCTATAACTCGTTTCCGATTGTTTGATGAGCACTTATTGCTTTCATTATTTGGAAGACCAAGTTTTAGTCGATTTTCCCGGGTTCAACGATTGTATTGCATTGCATCAATGATGTCGTTATCCTTTCTCGCTAGCGCCATGTTTTTTAAAGCAGATGATACTGTACACATTCACGGAGTTACTATAGGACCAATGAAAGTGACTTACAAACAAGTGTATGTTGGCCTGATGACGTCAGTTATGACGTTCCCCGTAGGATTCCTTATGGGATTTATTTTTAGAAACAGACGATATAAACAAAATCCAAAAGATTTATTAAATGGGGGAAATATTACAAAGGACAACGCTAAACTGCCATGGTTTTTTGTATTTATTGGATATGGAATTGCCGGCAGCACTTTGGCTTCTGGGTCATTTTTTACTACCCTTTACAGTATACAATGGGGTTCCGAGACCTCGATTGATTGGATGTTGTCTATTCTCTTTGGAACAACGAATGGAATCATGTTCTTCGACCCATTTAAGGTATTTAACTAAGCTGTAAAAATAATCGAATTGTAGAGTATTTTGAACATAACAATTGTATAGAATGTCAAGTTCAATCTTTTTAAAGGGATATCGTTTAATTTACTGTACATCTAGTCTTGCTATGATATACATGATACATGTACAAAAGAATCCCGCCCAATTGTTTATTTTCCTTTTCTTTTAAAAATGATTACTGATAAAGATTAGAATTATTCGGTGAGAATCTTTCAGAACGTAAATGTGATATTTGTTTAATGTAGACAATAAAAAAAAAATAATTCATGAATTCTTCTGAAATTTATAATATTCAATTTCAGAAGTAAGCATTTCTTCATTACATCAGTAAGGAATTGTATTGTTATAGCGGTATTAACATTGCACTGCCTACGGATAATTCAAATCATAATGAGTACATTTAAATAAGAAGATATGGTATGAGTGCCAATGAGGCAACTATCCATCCAAGTCACAATGTGTAATAAGTAAACAATTATAGGTCAAAGTACGGCCTTCAACACAGAGCCTTGGCTCACACCGAACAGCAAGCTATAAAGGGCCCGAAAATGACTAGTGTAAAACAATTCCAACAGGAAAACCAACGGTCTAATCTAAATAAAAAACGAGGAACGAGAAACACTTATGAACCACACCAACAAACGACAACCACTGAACTACAGGCTTCTGACTAAGGACAGATGCATAAAAATGTAGCGGGTTTAAACGTTTTAACAGGCGCCAACCTTCACCCTAACCTGAAACAGTGGTGTAACATTACAAAATAAAAAAAGACACACAATAAAATATCAATTGAAATGGTACATTGTATATCATCCAGAGGAAAATATTACATTAATTTTTAATAAATAGAACATTATTATTAAATACATATTCTGTTTTGTAGTAGACCGCATGAAGACGTTTTAATTTTAGAAATCTTATCGTGAATTTGAGCCGATCTGTCTGCTTTTATTCCTAAATGCTGTGGGCTTAGCTGCGAAGATAAACACTGTATCTTAATAAAATAAGGATATTAGTTTAATTGCCAATGAGACACTTTATATTGATTTGTCTCCCTTTGTATTTATTCATTATTCATTTATTTACTTACAGGTTCTTTTCTTGTCATTGATTGTAGCCCTAGTTTTTAAGGGATTTGCAAGAAAAGAAATCGAAGTCATGGCTCCGTTCTATGTCGACGACTCCCAGTTGGGCATTGGGTGTAAGTTGGTGTGCTTTTTCTTATCAGTTCAAATGAGAGTTTATTGTACAATTCTATGAAATTTGCCTTTATCACATTCGACTACAAACAAAGCTATAAAGTAATATAAGATTAAAAAATTAAACTATAATAACGAGTGATAGTATCTAGCCACGAATATTTTCAATTATTTTGAACTAAGAAACGTTCTTTTGGCATCGATAAGTTGATAACATTAGTTTCTTTACAAAAACTGCATGAATATATATCTTTTTATTTCCAATATTGAAGTTCGTGGTACCATCTAAAAAATTCGCGTTGGTACTCGTTAATCCTTTATTACCTAACGTTCTCCACAAACAGATATTGAATTTAAAGCTCGTTTTTATGCAGTGTACAGTATGCGCATATATGTACCTAAGTGTTCTTCAAAACTTTCTAAAAATGTATAATTTAGATTTCAACACACTTCTTAGTTCCAAAACTTGTTAGATTTGAATCTTATTATTTAATCACTTGATAATCAAAGATATTCAATAAATGATCAGTCTGTCCTAAATATATATAACGCAAGGACATACTGAAAATCTCATTTCATGTTTGGTTCATTTTACCTTTGCATCTAGTGCATTCAAAAACCATGTCATTTTTGACTGGATCTGGATTTGCATGGATGGCGGTTGTTGTAATCATGACAGGAGAAGCTTAAGCTGTCGATGCTCTTGGTCTCTACGGTTACCTCTAAATTATACACTTCTTCATTGCAGTATCAACAAATGTACCTTTCTATAATAAATGGCCTGGTGATAATAAAGAAACTGGTTCCCTTGCAGAAATGAAGCGACGTCTTGGACTAGATCAAAAGCTCTCAAAGCTCTTCCAGGGAATTTTGTTGGAGTTGTTATTTGTAGCTTTGCTTTCCATAATGTGTTCTCATTTTGTGATAACAAATGCATATCTTCAAAATGATCAGTTGATAAAGCAGCTACAACCATCGAAAAAGGTACTTGTTTTCCCTAGACTGTCCTTTTATCTAGTATTTTTAGCTCGTTTTAGTTTGTTAATAATTTAATCTAATCATATCCGAAAATTTATAAGGATTATTTGGAAAACCTTAAAATAATCACGATTCGTGTACTTAAATAAAAATTCTTTTTGTAAGATATCGTCGACTTTATTCACGTAAAGATAAGTAAAATGATCAACGACTCTTTTTACAAAAAAGTTAATTTGAAATGTTCGTGGCTGACCAGTGCTTTTACTAGTTGAATTTTTTTTGTTAAAATGGAGACTGAATGTTTGTTCAAGAGACACTATTTCTTTGATATTCAGTAAATAACAGATGTTGTAATACTGTGATAATACCCAAAAAGTAGGATGCTAGTTATGATCATCAGCAGAAAGAAGACCTAGAATGTTTATCTTCTTTCAAATCGTTTTTCATTTAGAAAGTCATAAAATATTCCAAGCTTATAATTTGGTTTGTCGGTATAACTTATGCAATAACTATTTATATGAGAAAACTATTACAAAACTACTTTTGGCAAGAGAGTAACATCATTATTGCAAGTTTATTAGTAAATTCATTAAAAAAAATACAAATCAAGATAATGATAAACAAAATATGAGGGAATCGTATGAAATCCAAAAGGAGTGAAACCGGGTACGTTGACAGGATATATGTCTCTTTGTATGCATGCATCATCCGCCATGCATATCCACACTCAGTCAAAAAGTGACAATTGGTAATAGAACACAATCGGTAAATTTACAAACAAGACGACTATTCTGTTATCTCAATATCTAACCTCGCAAAAACATTTCGCAAGTGAATTGTAACAAAGAAACGTTGTATCGGTCATCCAATTCGTAATGGTGACTGTAAAACTTTGTTGTGTAGATTTCAGTCGATTTTTTGGTATACCTCTGTTGGTGCAGTTTTTGTGTCATGAGCACACTCCTGTTAATGAAGTTAGTATATTGTGAATATGCATCTAATAAATTAGCAATTCAATCGAACGTTTTGTTCATGCTATATGTTTCCTTTCCATTTTAGATAGAAAGAAACACAGTTATTTGAAATTTGACGGTCTTTTTACTGTTGTATTAACTCACACGGAGAAAAATAATATTCTGAGATTTAAAAACATTGAGATAGAAAATGTAAAAAGAAATGTAAAAAGAGAATTTGAATTTAAACTTAATTTTACCTCCATTAGGTCGGTATTGCTGCCTGTAAACTACCACTCCAAGGCGGTACAATTTAGCCAGATGTCATTTGACGATTTTTAACTTTTCAATTTAGTCAATTTGGTTTTATGCTCTCAGATGTTTTACATGTTTCTGGATCAGAGATCGTTTGCTCATATGCCTTCAAGAACCACAATTTGTGCACACGATTTCGTAACGGCTGCTAGTGAACTATCAGTTCCTGAGGGTACCATCCACTTAGTAGTCCATGCTTTAACATAGACATAATTTAAATGATGCATTTTGATTGTAAATTTCAAGTTCATAGAATTAGTAATTGGTCTTAAACCAAGGTTGCCCCTCCCTCGGAGTAAGTTGACAAAAGACATGTTCGATTGAGACCCATTAGAAATGTATGCTCACAAATGTTTCATTTGTATGGGTTTCCTTACTTTTTGTGAGAGTCTACTTAATGGAGGTAATTTCAGAACGTCTTATGGACACAGAAGTATATCATTTATTTTTGTGTAATGTACCGGTTTGTGAAATTTAATTTCCTCATTGATGTACAGACAATAACTGTAAATTATTGACAAATACTGACTATACTACAGTTAATTTTAACTTCGTGTATCTTTTTGATAAATATTGATTTGTAATTTAAATTGCTCATTATTGAGTTTTAACCCTCTTCACAACGTTACGGTATAAAATCTACCTAGACGTACATTTGTCTTTATAAGATTGTAAGAAACATGGTTTCAGTAACACCAGATTAATAACTTACATTTCGTTCAGTTATTGCAAGAATTTGTTGATTGCATATATGTGACATAAACAACAAACAAACAAACAAATATTTTATTTGCCAATCACGGCGCCAAAAATGAGCAGAATAATTACAATATAATTTCAAACATAATATAAAAGTAAATTAAAAATAGGTTAATCAAAGTACATAACATGATTAATTTTGATTTAATTGATTAATATATAATATCAAAGTAACTGAAATAAGTAATTTGTTATAATAAAAATATATAATATGACCCATTGTTTGTTATTCTTGACCCTTTATTGGACAGTACACCTCACAGCACACCAATTATTAATTAAATGTAAATAGTAACTATTGTAAATGCATATATGATCATATATATCTATAACTCTATATAAAGTATTCTAATTTAGTATTGTATTCCTGTTTTTATTTAAAACCTCTAATAATTGACAAATTATTATCAAAATATTTTTATCTTCATTTCCCATTAACCAAATAAACAGAGATTTGTTATCAAGTTTTAAAATATTTTTATTTTTACTAAATATTTTGCTAAGATAGGGATTTCTAACATTAACCAAAGCTTTACATGTTAAAAGAAAATGCATCTCATCTTCTACTTCTTCATCACAGAGTTTGCATATTTTATTTTCTAATTTTATATTAAAGTAACGACCTTTTTCTATTTCAAGTTTGTGAGCTCCAATTCTAAATCTTGTTAAGACACATATGTGAAGATATGGTAATTTCAATAAGTATGGCTCAAAATTAAAGTTTGGTTTGAATAATCGATAAGTTCGAAGTTTATTTCCAGAGGTCTTATTTTGTCTTTTATCATTGAATAATTCTTTCTTCCAAAATTTACAATTTTTTAAATATAATTTCTTTTTCACCATATTCTTAATGTTTGTTTTAGATGAGAGTACTTGATACTCTTGTAAATCAAGCAATTTCAGGATAGCATGAATACAACTAGTCCAAGAATTCTTCCCAGCTTTCGATAATGTATTTGAGAGAGAGTATGCATTTGTTAATAAAATATTATTTGTAATATGAATTCTTTTTCAATATTTGATCATGTTTGTTAAAATACCTAACATCAGAGGATAACGACCTAATTCACCAAATATGGCCAAATTTGTTGCATGCTTATT